CTGTCCTCCCAGGACGTCACGTTCGACGAGTCAGTCCCCTTCTACCGCCTCTTCCCCTACCGCACTCCTTCCCTCCTCCCGCCACCGCACTTCCTTGTGCCAGGTCCCCCCCAGATAGACCCCCTTCCCCCCCAGGGTCCTGCCCCTTCAGGTGTGTCCCAGGTAGACGCAGTCGAGCCGGTCGAGGTTGCTGGTGACTCTGGTACTGGTGCGGGTGCTGAGCCTGGGGGTGCTGACTCTGGGGGTGCTGCACGCGTGGGCGCTGAGCCTGGGGGTGCTGAGCCTGGGGGTACTGCGACTGGGGGCGCTGAGTCTGGGGGTGCTGAGCCTGGGAGTGCTGAGTCTGGGGGTGCTGAGCCTGGGGGTGCTGCGACTGGGGGTGCTGAGCCTGGGGGTGCTACGTCAGGAGCTGCTCAGCCAGGGGGTGCTGCTGAGCCTAGAGTTGCGGAGCCTGCGGCCACTGGACCTCCTCTTCTGGCGTCTGGCGGTGCGGGGCCTGGAGGCTCTCCGGGTGCTTCGTCTCGGCGGGAGCCACTCTCTCCACAGGAGCTGCGCGAGTGGTTTGCTCGCCGCTGGAGGCGTACTGCTGGAGCTGGAGCTTCTTCGGCCGCTGAGGGTACTTGTGCCGCCGGTCCCGGGGCTCCTTGGCCTTCGGGTCCGCCTGGCGCTGGAGCTACTGAGGGTGTTGGTACTGAGACTGCGGCTGTCCTTCCTGGCAGTGGTCCTACTGCAGGTGCTGCTAGTGCTGCTGGAGGTCCTGCAGCTGGAGGTGCTGTTGGCGCTGGTGCTGCTGCTGAGGGTGCTCGTGCTGTCCCTGCTGTGTTTGGAGTTGCCGCGCGGCCTCGGCCGTACTTCGTTCCGCTCCTGCAGCAGGTTCTTGGTCTTTCTCCTTCTGCAGAGTGTCCACCGCCTGTCCAGTCACAGTCACAGTTAGAGCCCGCCTCCCCACTTCCTGCTCCCTCTCCTTACACTGGTCCTACTGGAGGTCTTGCTGAGCGTCGTGAGCCTGCGTCTCGCCCCGCGTCGCCTGTTCGTGCTGCTCGCGCTAGTGGTCCCGGTTCGCGTCAGCGTCCTCCTCCTGTCCCTGGCACGCACCGGATGTCTCTGCGTCCGTCCACTGCTCCTTTGCGTGCCCCTTTACCTTCTCCTCCTGAGTCCTCTCTTCCTGCACTTGCCGACCCAGAGTCAGACTCTCTTCGTACTGCCAGTCCCACTATCACGCGTCTCCTTGCTTCTGTTGTCACTGACCCCTCTTTTGAGTCCACTGCTGCGTCTGCGCTTGTTGCTGAGCTCGTCGACTTTGCTGCTCGCTGTCGTCTAGACTATGCTGCCAGTCTTGTTGCTCAGTCTGCGTCTGTCTGTCCTCCGTCCGTCGGGGATGAGTGTGCTCTTGGCACGGACGTCCTTGAGGACAGGCAGGAGGAGTTCCAGTGTCTGGCTGCTACTTCACCTCATCTCGCGTCCGTTCTACTTGCCCCTGAGGGAGACCCGGATGCACTAGACATCCCGACTCCGCGCTCTTACGCGGAGGCCGTAGAGGGTCCCTACTCCTCTCAGTGGCAGGCAGCTATGGATGCAGAGATGGCTTCCTGGAAGTCCACAGGCACCTACGTTGACGCAGTTCCCCCTCCTAGGGCGAACATCGTCAGTGGCATGTGGATCTTCAGGGTGAAGTGGCCGCCGGGCTCTCCACCTGTCTTCAAGGCGCGGTACGTGGCTCGTGGCTTCAGTCAGCGGCAGGGAGTTGACTACTTTCAGACCTTCTCTCCCACCCCGAAGATGACCACTCTTCGGGTACTGCTGCACATAGCCGCGCAGCGCGACTACGAGCTCCACTCTCTTGACTTCAGCACAGCTTTCTTGCAGGGCAGCCTGCACGAGGAGATCTGGCTGCGCCGTCCACCTGGCTTCACTGGGAGTTTCCCTCCTGGCACCCAGTGGAGCCTCCGACGGCCAGTCTACGGTCTCCGCCAGGCACCGCGTGAGTGGCACGACACACTGAGGACTACACTTGCGGCTCTTGGGTTTGCTCCTTCTACTGCCGACCCGTCGCTGTTTCTCCGCACCGACACCTCTCTGCCGCCGTTCTACATCCTCGTGTACGTCGACGACTTGGTCTTTGCCACAGCTGGCACTACTGGACTCGCCTACGTGAAGTCCGAGCTGCAGAAGAGACACACGTGCACAGACCTGGGTGAACTGCGCAGCTACCTTGGCTTGCAGATCACCGGGGACAGAGCACAGCGCACCATTACTCTGACTCAGTCACACATGGTGCAGCAGGTCCTTCAGCGCTTCGGCTTCACGTACTCCTCGCCTCATGCCACTCCTCTGCCTACTCGCCACTCGCTCTAAGCTCTGCCTTCGGATGAGTCCGTAGAGTCGAGTGGCCCGTATCCAGAGCTTGTTGGCTGCCTCATGTACCTGATGACCTGCACACGACCTGACCTTGCATACCCTCTTAGCATTCTCGCACGCTATGTTGCTCCTGGTAGACACCGACCAGAGCACATGGCTGCAGCGAAGAGGGTGTTGCGCTACTTGTGCAGTACGTCGGGCATGGGGCTAGTGCTTGGAGGGCGGAGTCCAGTGGTCCTCACTGGGCACGCGGACGCTTCTTGGGCTGACGACCAGGCTACGCAGCGGTCGTCACAGGGCTACACCTTCAGCCTTGGTTCCGGCTCTGTTTCGTAACTGGCTACTCGCTTGTCTTCTGTTCTCGGCTCCAGTTGAGAGGCTGAGATCTACGCCGGGGCCATGGCTGCACAGGAGCTTCGCTGGCTTACCTACCTGCTGACTGATCTTGGAGAGCGCCTCGTTCTTCTCCGGTGCTGTACGTAGACAACAAGGCCATGCTAGCCTTGTGTTGGGAGCAGCGCCTGGAGCACAGAACGAAGCACATTGCTCTTCGCTACTTTCTTGCTCGTGAGTTGCAGCAGCGTGGTCAGTTGCGACTTGCGTACGTGGCCTCTGAGGCCAACACTGCTGATGTTTTCACCAAGGCACTTCCACCTTGTGATCATCAGCGCTTCTGCACTCAGCTGGGTCTTGTGCCTGTCTTGCCTCACTTGCTCACCCCTTGACCTTGCTTGTACTCTTACATTTATATATATATACCTGCTCTTGCTTGTTTAGCCTTATATATATATGTGTACTCCTGCATGTGAACTGGCCTTGTGGCCTTTACCTTGTGCTCGGACTGTGTGGTGACGTTGTGATCCACCCTGAGCTTTGTTTGCTTTGCCTGACTGGTCTTGTGACCCCTTGTTCTCCCCCATTTTGCCTATGGGGGTGTGTCAAATTATAATATTGTGTAGGCTATAGTGGGGTAGCCTATATGGGGTACACATTTCTAGGGTTGCATATTTGTATCACTTCCATTCCTTAGTCATTCATTCTCGTTCAACTTCTCTCATTACGTGAAGGTTCCGCGGGTCGCGAAGCGTCCCGAATAGATCCTTCCCGAATTCGGTAGAAGGCAATTCGGTGGCAACCGAAAAGCCAGAATTCGGTGCACGCAACCTAGCTCGGTGCTATAACTATAATAAAATATAGGAAAGCACCTAGCCTAGGAAATCAAGCAATTCATGCATGCATATAACTATCCTATGCTAGAAATGGCATAATAAAGTAAAGGCAAGCAAGCATAGCTAGCATAAGCCGTCGTATTCTCACAATCTCCCTCGCAGCTCACTCTCTCCCTCGTAGCTCACTCTCTCCCTCGCAGCTCACTCCCTCCCTCGCAGCTCACTCTCTCCCTCGCAGCTCACTCTCTCCCTCGCAGCTCACTCTCTCCCTCGCAACTCACTCTCTCCCTCGCAGCTCACTCTCTCCCTTGCAGCTCACTCTCTCCCTCGCAGCCAAATCAAACGGAAACGAGGGAACCAAATGGGGGGGGCGATGAGGAGTAACTGGAAAGAAATGTCTGTAAATTCATACCTACTAAGATGGCGTTGCTGCTGAGCTGAGCTCACGGGCTGAAAATGAGTGGGTATTCCCGTCAAGGAATATGCACGAACGAAAAGTGCAGCTCACGGGCTCACGGGCTCACGGGCCGCATCGTACAGCGACGACCAGCTGCGACGCCAGCTTCGCTGGCGAACGCGGCCCGCACGGCGCGACTAGGGAATGACGCTCGGCGAGGGAGGAGGAGAGAAATACATGAAATAAGAATCTCTATCCTATACCTTCGCGAGAAGACAGCAGTGGAGTGACAGTTCGTGAATGATGCCATTCCCGAACGAGTTGGCAAAGAATCTTGCCATTTCGGCATGATTGACGGAGGGACGGTCGAACCGGTGTACCTAGACATCCGGAATTCAGGGCGCCTACGCAAATCTCCATTACAGGGATTTCAGCCAACCCCTTCGTTACAACTCTGATGAGACAGCGTACACGACAGGAAAAAAGCTGATATTTCAGCACAGACAGTTTTAAAAACCCTGAAATTTCAGCAAGCACACTTTAAAGAAAGCTGCCACAACAGCCCCACTATTCTCCCACCACTGAAATCACAGCCTTTTTACCCCTAATCAGCCTTTTCTCGCTGACTTCTGAGGGCCTGTGTGCGTTGCTCACATCCTGGCACTCCACTGCCATCTCGGAAGTGGGCATATTGAAATAAAACTTCCAGGAAACTTCGCTTCGATAAGCGCGCAGAGTGTACCCCCGATACAAGTCTGAGGCTCAGCCTACACTTAAAAAATTAGGCTGAAATTTCAGACAACTCATAAAAAAACCTCTGAAAAATCAGACAAGGTACAGAAAAATAATCTTAGGCTTCAGACTAGGTAAAAAAAAAAAAGTCTGAACGGACTCTGAATCAGACTTTAAAGTCTGATATCTAGGGCCCTGACCGAATGAATGGATGTACAATCTGTCACCAACACATCTCTGCATGGCACTACAGTAGGCCTTACTGTACCACGCTGGAATAAATTAGTGCTTATTCTTCTTTTCACAACCCCCATGATCCACTCAGCTCCTCCGTATGCGCCCTGCTACAGCCACTCTCGCCGGGACATCATCTTTTTGCGCGACCGCGGCTTGGGTGGCACCGCTGCACCCATGCCGCCACCCGCTGCACCCATGCCGCCACCCGCTGCACCCATGCCGCCACCCGCTGCACCCATGCCGCCACTTGCTGCCATGCCTGTGTCATGAGCTGGAGTGGCTTCGCCCGCAACCCCTGCCACTGTGGACTGGACTTCCACACTATCCGCCGCACCCGTGGCATTGGCAGGGCAAGCAGCAGCACAGCACGGTGGCGGGTGCGAGGCCGCATTGAGGGTGGCATGCACTGCTTGCGGTGCAGCACAGCCTGCAAGCGCAGGATGGGGTGTGCGTATGGCACAGCCTTTTGTTCCATGCGGGGTGGGTTGAGCTCGTGTGGCGCCATGCGGTGTGGCGCCATGCGGTGTGGCGCCATGCGGTGTGGCGCCATGCGGTGTGGCGCCATGCGGTGTGGCGCCATGCGGTGTGGCGCCATGCGGTGTGGCGCCATGCGGTGTGGCGCCATGCGGTGCTGCACACACCGACCTGTGCGAGGGTGCAGAGGGGGCAGAGAAGTGTGTGGAGAAGAGGCACGTTATCTCCTCCACTGCCCTCTCCTCTGCTGCCCCCACACCCTCTGACTTCAGTGTGGGAGGATGAGCGGAGGGTGGTGCAGCAGGGGATGAGGGCGGGGCACAGGGCCGTGTGGCAGCAGCGGGGTGGGGCGAGATGGGTGCCTGGAACGGGGGGTTGGACAGGAGGTGCGCATGGGCGAGGGGGGGATGCGGAGAGGGTGTTGCGTCGTGGGGGAAGGGAGGAAAGCGGCCCTTTGGCTGTGGTGAGGGAGATTTGGGCGGCAGGTGAGGCGAGTGGGCGTGAGGAGATGCGGCAGCAGGAGCAGTGGGGTCGATGGGGTGTGTACCGGTGCCCCTCCTCCCCCGCTCACTGCCACCACTCGCCTGCCCTGCCGTCGTGCCATGAGGGGGGACAGCAGCATGGTGCAGCGGCGGCCACAGCTGCGCCATGGCATCCACATCCAAGCTGCGACTCCGCTCGTGCCCCTGCCCTCCCTCGCCTCTCCCAGCCACTCCCTCTCGTCCTCCCCATTCCCAACCTCCCCCCGCTTTAGCCCCTCCATTACCTTCCCTCTGTTCAACCCCCTCCCCTCTCCTGCCCCCAGCACCCTCTTCCCCTGCTCGCTCTCCTCCTTCCCCACTGCCACCCCGCACACATCTGTCCCTGTTGCCTTCTGCTGCCCCCCCTCGCCACCTGCTGGTGGCAGCATGCCCCGCGCTGTGAGGCGTGCGGCCATAAGGGGAGAACAGCCCGCCCTGCAGCGCCTGCACGCACGCCTGCACGGCCTGCTGCTGCCTCCGCCTGCTCTCCTCAAACTGCTGCCGCGCGCCGCCGCTCAGCCCCGACGCCACGCCACTGCTGCCGTCCATGCTGTGACTCACTCGGTGCCCCGCTGCCCTTGCCGCCCAGGGCACGTGCAGGGGGGTGCCTGCAGCGGGGGTGGGGGAGTCTGCCGCGGCAAATGGTGAGAAGCGAGGGAAGGACGGCACAGTGGGCCCTCGTGGGGTGGCTGCCCCACACGGGGTGGCGTCAGTGGGGGGAGCGCTGGGAGCCGCGTGCAGTGTGGGTGGCGGTGGGACGCACACGAGGGCATGAGTGGTGGTGGGGTGAGAGGAGACGGAGAATGGAGGAGCAGGGGCACCTGCGGGGTGAGTGGGCGTGCAGGCAGGAGGCGCATGGACGGTGTCAGGGAGTTCACCACACACCGCATCCCCTTGTGCCCCCACACGCTGCTGAGCGTGCTGAGATTGCTGGGACGCATGGCCATGCACACCGGAGGTGGCAACTGGCACACAGGCGTCGCCCCCATCAACATCGGCAGCAGCAGCAGCGGAGGCACCCCACCCTGACCCCCCCCCTGCTCTACGCTCACAGCCGGCCCCGCTGCTCGCATCCTCGCTGCCCTGCGCCCTGCCCTCATCCGCCTGTGCGCCCCTCCCTTGCACTGCCCCGCCCATGTGCCTGCCAGCCCCATCCTCGCCCATGTGCCTGCCAGCCCCATCCTCGCCCATGTGCCTGCGAGCCCCATCCTCGCCCATGTGCCTGCCAGCCCCATCCTCGCCCATGTGCCTGCCAGCCCCATCCTCGCCCATGTGCCTGCCAGCCCCATCCTCTTCCATGCTGCTGCCTCCACCACTATCCCCCCCACATGCACCAGGCGCAGCAGTGGCGTGGGGGGGGGCAGAGGAGGCGGGGGAGGTGGAGGAGGAGCTCCACGGAGGACTGCTCACTGAATTACCCACTGCTGCTGTCGCTGCCGCTGCCACTGCTCCCCCTCCCTCACCCAGCCCCACTGCAGTAGCTGCAGGTGCACGCGGGACCACGCTGCCATCATGTCGTGTGCGGCGGTGCAGGCTGGCAGCAGCAGCAAGCAGCGAGTGGCAGCGCGGCAGCACCTCCTGCAGCGCCGCCCACTGCAGCGCTGGCAGCACGGAGCAGCTCCGCTCCACGGCGCGCAGCAGCGACGCCGCTGAGTGCAGCAGCTGCCGTGGGGGCCATGGGGGGTGGGTGGGGGGAGTGCGGGGAGTAAATGGTTGCATGAGGAGGGGGGTGATTGTGTGAGAAAACGTGAGGAAGAACCATTGAGTTGATTATGATAGATGGGGGTATACATAGTAGTGCTAAGGGGGGGGGGTGGTTGGTTGGAACCAAGCCAACATTATTGGCCCCCACCAATAAGTTGGGTTGGGGGATTATTGGGGGACCAATAATGTTGACCAAGTGGTTCAACATTATTGGGGGGACCAATAATTCCCAACCCAACCTTGGGGGCCAAGGTTTGAGTTCCAACCCCCAACTAGGGTTAGCCCTAGTTCTACACCCAAACTAAGTTTGGGTGGCTATCTCTAACCTAAGCTTATAGGATTGATGTAGGTTACAATGAGGATGGCAATCTGACACAACCCCTTAACCTACAGAAATCCATAAGCTTGGGAAGAGAGAGAGCAACAACCCCTGAATCAGCCACCGCGGGGAGCAAGTCCCTGGAGACGCAGAAGCGCAGAGTGGTCAGAGCGGTGGAGAGCCTTGGTGAAGAGATCGGCGAGGTTGTCGGAGGAGGCGATTTTGCGAACGGTGATGTGACCATCTTGGACAAGGTCGCGAACAAAGTAGTAGCGAAGCTCGATGTGTTTGGAGCGACCATGAAAGACTGCTTCCTTGGTGAGGTGGATGGTACTGTCGTTGTCACACCACAGGGTGGGGCGGGGCTGTGGAGAGCCAAGGTCGGTGAGCAGATAGCTGAGCCAGCGTGCCTCTTGAGCCGCCATCGTGACTGCGTATAGTTCGGCTTCGCAGGATGAGAGGGCAACGGAGGAGGAGCGGGTGGAGCGCCAGCTGATGAGGCTGTTCCCGAGTGTGACGCCATATCCTTGAGAGCTGCGACGGTCGGGCTGTGCGTCGGCCCAAGATGAGTCGCTGAAGCCTTGAAGAATGGGCGGGGTCACACCACCAAAAGTGAGGACATGGTCCTTCGTGCCCTGAAGGTAGCAAAGAACACGCATGGCCGCCTTCCAATGCTCTTCACCATGCCTGCCGGTGCCAACGAACTGCGCCAGAACACTGATTGGGTATGCAAGGTCGGGACGAGTGCAGACCATGGCGTACACCAGGGCCCCAACAAGTTTTGCATAGGGATGAGGGGAGGTGACGGGAGTGGTGGGAGGGGAGAGCCGATGCTCGAATGCAAGTGGTGTGGGGATGGGTTTGCAGGTTTTCATGCCAAACCTCTCAAGAATCTTCTCGATGTAAAAAGACTAAGAGAGGGTGATGGTCTTGGCAATGAGGTCGCGAGTGATCTCCATGCCGAGGTAGTTGCGAACCTCCCCCAGGTCTTTGCAGGCGAGGCGTTTCTGCAGCTCATCCTTGACCTTCTGGGGTTCAGCAGCTGTGTCAGCGGCCAGCAACATGTCGTCGACGTAGACGAGTATGAAGAAGGGTGATGGGGTGAGGCGCAGGAAGAGGCAGGAGGCAGCCCGGGAAGGGCGAAAGCCAAGTGCGCAAAGGGTGGAGGAGAGTTTGGCGTGCCATTCCCTAGGTGCTTGTTTGAGCCCGTGGACAGGGCGTAGCAGCTTCCAAACAGTGGTAGGGTCGTGAGGAGCGTAGAAGCCTTTGGGATGTTCCAGAAAAATGAGCTCATGAAGGTCGCCTTGCAGAAAGGCGGTGGTGACGTCCATGGAGTTAAGAATCATCCCGCGTTTGCCAACAAAGTCCAAAAACAAGCGAATGACCGGTGGAGTGGCGGTGGGTGAGTAGGTCTCGAAGAAGTCTGAGCCATAGGCATGTGTGAAGCCTTTTGCCACATATCGAGCTTTGTAGACCGGAGCGTCGCCAGGGAGTAGTTTTACTCGGAAAACCACCTGCCTTTGACCACGTTGTGTTTAGAGGGACGAAGAACGTCGAGAAACGAGCGGTTGCTGATAAAGGCGTTGCTCTCCTTGACCATGGCCTCGATCCAGAGAGGTGCATCAAGACAGGCAAGTGCTTGCTCATAGGTGGTGGGTTCGTAGATGGTGGGGGTGGTGGAGAAGAGAAGGACAGTAGTGCCAACCATTGTGCGGACGACGGAGGCGATGGTGGGTGAGAGGAGGTGGAGGAAAAGAAGCTCATCGTGAGAGTCTTCAGAGAGGTCCGGAGTGAGAGGAGGAAGAGGAGGCGGTGGAGTTGCAAGACAGCTGCGTTGGAGGGTCGGGCTGATGCGGGGACACAGCTGCACCGATGCTCTGCTGCGCTGAGGGTCGAGGCGGGGAGACAGCTGCATTGCAACTCGGCTTCGCTGAGTTGCCGTGAGGGGCAGGGAGATGGGAGCGTGACTGCTGAGAGAACCTGAGGTGCTGGTGCAGGGGGGAGGGGAGGTGCTATGGTGGCGGAGAAGGGGGATGGATGTGAGAGACTGGAGGGAGGGGGGGGTGGACCTGGGAGTACCAAAAATGGGGACCGTGGAGCGGGTGTGAGGGTAGTGGCGGGCCGCGGAGTATGAGAGGGGGAGTGGGAAGTAGGGGCCGGGAGGATGGAGGTGGAGTGAGTGGGGGAGGGCGTGGGGAGGGGGGAGGTGGGTGATGTTGTGCATGGAGGGAGGGAGGGGAAGGAGGGGGAGGGGGTGGGGAGGGATGGGGAGGGGCAGCGGGAGGGGAGGGAGGGGGAGGGGCAGCGGGTGGGGAGGAAGGGGGAGGGGCAGCGGGTGGGGAGGGAGGGGGAGGGGCAGCGGGTGGGGAGGGAGGGGGGAGGGGCAGCAGGTGGGGACGGAGGGTGGACGGGGTCAAGGATGTCTCCTGATGAGGGGGGGGGGAGAGGGGGGGAGGGGATGGGGGTGCAGGGGGGACAATGGTAGGGGGGGGAGAAGGAAAGGGGAGGGGAGAGGGGGTGGAGGGGGAATGGTGTCAGTCCAGAGGAAGGGACGGGTGGTTAGAGGGAGGGGGTTAGGGACTTTGGGGGAGGTGTAGTACGGGTGGGCTTCATCAAATTCCACATCCCGACTACGAATAAGGCGACCTGAGGGGGGATGGAGGAAGAGATAGTCCGGGGAGGAGGTGTTTTGACCAAGGAAAATGCAGGGGAGAGTGCGGGAGGCTAGCTTCCCAGCTTTGCGTGAGTGGTCGACAAGGTGTATGAGAACATACACCATGGAACCCCACACGCGCAGGGAGGTGATGTCGGGCTTTTTGGATGTCTAGAGTGCGGTGGGAGTGGTGGTGGGCCGGGAGGGATAAGGGTACAAGTTAGTGATGATGGCAGCGTGGAGGATGGCATAGCCCCAAAGAGAGGGCGGGCAGGAGGCATGGACCATGAGGCACCGAGCAGTCTTGGTGACCTCACGGACCCTACTTTCCGCCATGTCATTCTGCTGAGGGGAATGAGGTAGGGTGTAGGTGTGAATAATGCCACGAGTGGTGCAGTAGGATGAGAGCATGTTGTTAAGGAACTCAGCACCACCATCAAAGTGGAAGCGCGAGACAGGGCGTTTGAAATGGGCGCGTGCTTGTTCAACCCAGGCAATAATAGCAGCAGGGGCCTCCGCCTTCGTGCGAAGGAGGGAGACGGAGGAGTAGTGGCTGTGGTCATCCACCAGGATGAGCAGGTATTTGTGACCTTGCCTGGTGGGGGAAGGGTTGGGGCCCCAGAGGTCCATGTGGACGAGATCAAGAGGCTGAGGAGAAAAGGAGGGATGACTCTTGTGGGGGGGCTGTTTCAGTTTGCTTTCAACGCATACTGAGCAGGGAGGGGAGGGTGATGGGGGGGAGAGGGGGAAGGGTGAGGCGGAGTCCATCGAGGAGTTGGGTGGAGACAGTTTGACGGAGGGTGGCTAAGTTGGGATGACCCAACCTATGGTGAAGGAGAACTGCGGGGTGGGTGAGGTCACGACAGTGACAGGAGGAGGTGGGGGAGGGGGGAGGGGGGGGGGGGGGGGGGGGAGGGGAGAGGAGGGGGGGGGGAGGGGATGGGGGAGGGGATGGGAGGAGGGGAGGGAAGGGGGAGGGGAGGTGAGGGGAGGGGAAGGGGTGAGGTGGGGGCGATGAGGTGGTGAGTGGAGGTGCGAGGGGTGCGGTGCGTGTACAGGTTTGTGTGGGGGCAGAGGGGAATGCGACAGATGAAGCGACCAGTGGTGGTGTGAAAGAGGTCGCAGTGGCGTGCATGACCGGGGAAGAGGGCGATGATACCGAACCAGGTGAGGTCACACAGTGCCACCAGATTGTTGCATAGGGAGGGGATGTATAGACCTGTGACTCTACCTAAGGGGAAGATGGGACAGGGGAGGGTGGAGGTGTGTCGACTTGTGATGGTGAAGCTGGAGTCAGCTCCGTGGATAGTGGAGGGAGTGGGGAGGGGTACCAGCGTGCCTGCATCGCGCAGAACAGTGTGTGTGGCTCCACTGTCAAAGATAAACTCAAGGCATGAGGAAGAGGAGGAAAAGGCGGAGTACTAGAAGAGAGACTCATTAATAGCATGGGCATACAGAGAATCAGCACGAGCAGTGCTAACATGTCCTATGAATCCAGCAGAGGGGAACGGAGTAAAGCCAGGAGGGTTGGAGGAGGAGGAGGGCTATTCAGCAAGATTAGCAACAGGACCAATAGGTCCAGGACCATATCCAGGAGGTGGGTAAGGAGGATAAGGCCAGCCAGCATAAGGTGGAGGGTAGTGAGGGGGAGGGGCTTGAAGCGGAGGTGTGGGTGGAGGAGGAGTGGGAGTGGGGGTGGATGAGGGGAGAAGATGCTTGACTTGCTGGAGGATGTGAGATGGAAGATGTTGAGTGAGGACATTGTGGAGGTTGGGGGTGGAGGGTTGATAGGCGGGGGGAGTGCGGATGTCATGGGGAGAGGGGCGTGGGAAAACAGTGTTCCAGCGAGGTGGGGTGCCAACATTGCCACGGTCAAACCATTCGTCAGTGAGGGCTTTGAAGAACGTGTCAATGGTATGAGTGGTCTGTGAGCATGGTTGGCCTTTGTTGGAGCCATAGCGAATGATGTACTGACACGGGGGAAGGGTGCCCGAAGGTGAGGGGTGTCCGCCACGCCCACCACGGCCACCGCCTCGCCCACCACCACGTCCTCCTCCTCGCCCACCACCACGTCCTCCTCCTCGCCCACCACCACGTCCACCTCCACCACTGCCAGTACCGCCATGGCCGCCACCTCCGCCGCTGTTCTCGTTGCCTGTGGGGGCTTTGCGAGTCTGAACTGCATTGATAGAGGTGGAGTCACGTTGAAGGTCGGCTTCGCTATCAAGGAGCCACTCGATGGTGTCTGTCACAGGAGGAGGGCAGCGGTAGCGGGAGGTGAAGGTGATGCGGTATGTGTCATATGTGGGGGGGAGGCAGTCGAGAGTGCGTGCAGTGAGGAGAGACTCAGAGACGACAATGCCTCGATTGTTGAGGCGTCGTGCAGTATCAATGAGGCGGCGGGTGTAGGCAGCAGCAGTGGGAGAGGAGTCAAAGGTGGTGCCTTGGAACTTGCGAAAGAGGGCAAGGAGGGAGCGAAGATCCTGTCGATCGTACTGAGTAGAGAGGGTTTTCCAGAGGCCAGAGGAGGAGGTGGGACGGAGGTCGCGTTTGAGGTGTGAGGGGATGCAGGAGAAGATGATGGCGAGTGCGCGGCGATCCGCAACACGCCATGCTGCGACATCCTTGTGAAGTTTGCGTAGCTCCTCAGCATGATCGTTCTCATCTTTTTTGTATTGGAGGATGCGTGCAGCGGCGATACCATGTGCTTCCTCAACCACACGGTATGCTTCACGCTGGATGGTGTAGGTGTCACGTAGCTTATTGTAGTTGTTCAAGTTGGCCGCCCAGCGATCCGGGTAATAATCATGAACTGGAGGATTGGGGGGGGGGGGGCAATAGGTTCTGGAAGTGGAGGGGCATCGGGGGGGAGGGGGATCAAGAGGAGGAGGGGGTGGCAGGCCGTTAAAGGTTTCAAGGACTACGTCAAGGAGACAGTAGTCTTGGATGATGACAGAGCCAAGGTAGGTGTGGAGTGTGTCCTCGAACGACGCCCAGTTCACAGCGGTGGTATCATGAAGGAGCTCGAGCTTGTCGATAGCTCCGAGCTCAATGGGAGTAGAGTTGTCCGCCATGAGGGGGAGGAGGGGGGAGGGGGTGACGACACCGGCTGGAGGGCGGGTGCGGTCAATCGGGGTGACAACACCACCTAGAGGGGTGGTGCGGTCGAAGGGCTGCGCCTAGCGTCGCTCACGGTTGCGCCTGATCGCGTTGCCCGCGGCTGCGCCTGGTCGCGTCGCCTGCGGTGGTCACCTCCGCTGGTCGCGTCCGCGGGGGTCGCCCCCGCTGGTCGCGTCCGCGTGGGTCGCCTCCGCTGGTCGCGTCCGCGGGGGTCGCCTCCGCTGGTCGCGTCCGCGGCGGTCGCCTCCGCTGGTCGCGTCCGCGGCGGTCGCCTCCGCTGGTCGCGTCCGCGGCGGTCGCCTCCGCTGGTCGCATCCGCGGCGGTCGCCTCCGCTGGTCGCGTCCGTAGCGGTCGCCCGCGTTCGTCGCGTCCGCAGCGGTCGCCCGCATTCGTCGCGTCTGCGGCGGTCGCCCGTAAAACCCTAATCCGCGGCGGGCGCCCGCGTTTGTCGCGTTCGCGGCGGTCGCCCCCGATTAGGGTTTCGTCGGTCGCGGTAGTCGTTCCGACGGTTAGCGTGCTCGCGGGAGAGAGGGGAGGGCCGTAAGTGGCGTAATTAACCTTAGGAAGGGGAGAAGGGTGCTGAAATTTAGCGCGGGGAGGGGGGCCGTGATGGCGTAGGAGCGTACTTGGCGCTAAGAGCGACCTAGTTGTCGCGTAAGGGAGGGGGGCGTGTTAAGGCACGCGGAGGTGTGGTTCTTAGGATCGAAGAAGGTGTGAGCCGTGTTTGCTCTAATTACCATGTGAGTAAACGTGAGGAAGAACCATTGAGTTGATTAGGATAGATGAGGGTATACATAGTAGTGCTAAGGGGGGGGGTGTTGATTGGAACCAATCCAACATTATTGGCCCCCACCAATAAGTTGGGTTGAGGGATTATTGGGGGACCAATAATGTTGACCAAGTGGTTCAACATTATTGGGGGGACCAATAATTCCCAACCCAACCTTGGGGGCCAAGGTTTGAGTTCCAACCCCCAACTAGGGTTAGCCCTAATTCTACAGATTGGAGTGCGCATGGAGCATGAGGCATGAGAGAATGTTGTCGGGCGCCAGTGGAGTATGGGCGATGGAAGAGGCGAGCGTGGAAGAGAGAGACGTGGAAGGCAGCAAGCGGGTCACATGCGGCCACAGTGTCACATGCGGCCACAGTGCGGCGGCGCCATACCTGCGAGTGAGCATGGCGTGGCGATGCCGGCGGTGAGAGCAGCGAGTCAGCGACGCGGGGCAGGGCGGAGAGCAGCGAGGAGAAGAGCAGCAGGCGTAGCGGGCGAGGGGCGCGCGGGCAGGCGGCCTTGCGCATGCGGCGCAGCAGCCACACAGCCCAGCGCACTGACAGGTCCCGCGATGAGGGGTGCCAGCTACAGGGGGCCATGGGGAGAGAGAGGGGTGGAGCGCAGGTGCAGCGGGGAGATGAGAGGCATGTGGGCGAGATGGGAGGCGTGCTGGCCAAGGTGGGCTCATGGCGGGCGACGTGGCATGTGACGTGATGGCATGTGACGTGATGGCATGTGACGTGATGGCATGTGACGTGATGGCATGTGACGTGATGGCATGTGACGTGATGGCATGTGACGTGATGGCAAGTGACGTGATGGCAGGTGACGTGATGGCATGTGACGTGATGGCATGTGACGTGATGGCATGTGACGTGATGGCATGTGAAGTGGTGGCATGTGACGTGATGGCATGTGACGTGATGGCATGTGACGTGATGGCATGTGAAGTGGTGGCATGTGAAGTGGTGGCATGTGAAGTGGTGGCATGTGAAGTGGTGGCATGTGAAGCGGTGGCATGTGAAGTGGTGGCATGTGAAGTGGTGGCATGTGAAGTGGTGGCATGTGAAGTGATGGCATGTGAAGTGATGGCATGTGACGTGATGGCATGTGACGTGATGGCATGTGACGTGATGGCATGTGACGTGATGGCATGTGACGTGATGGCATGTGACGTGATGGCATGTGAAGTGGTGGCATGTGAAGTGGTGGCATGTGAAGTGGTGGCATGTGAAGTGGTGGCATGTGAAGCGGTGGCATGTGAAGTGGTGGCATGTGAAGTGGTGGCATGTGAAGTGGTGGCATGTGAAGTGATGGCATGTGAAGTGATGGCATGTGACGTGATGGCATGTGACGTGATGGCATGTGACGTGATGGCATGTGACGTGATGGCATGTGACGTGATGGCATGTGACGTGATGGCATGTGACGTGATGGAATGTGACGTGATGGCATGTGAAGTGGTGGCATGTGAAGTGGTGGCATGTGAAGTGGTGGCATGTGAAGTGGTGGCATGTGAAGTGGTGGCATGTGAAGTGGTGGCATGTGAAGTGGTGGCATGTGAAGCGGTGGCATGTGAAGTGGTGGCATGTGAAGTGGTGGCATGTGAAGTGGTGGCATGTGAAGTGGTGGCATATGAAGTGGTGGAATGTGCGTAGCTGCATTCACTGATGCACTAGCTCATGTGGCTTCACTTGCCCATTCGCCCATTCGCCCATCCACCCATCCGCTCCTCACACCAGCACACTGCACCCATTTGCCATGCACCTTGCAACATGCACCACGCGTCATCCATCATACACCATCCACACCCTCACCCACCGGTGCAGGGCGAGCAGGTGGGCGGGGGCCACCTCAAAGGCGCGCTCCACCTCGCCCGCACTGCCATGCTGCCTCCGCGCACCCCCTCTCCCCTTCCACTTCCCTCCTCCCACCGCTGCCCCGCCATCCCCATGCCTCGCGCCTGCCTCTGCGAGCTGCCCTCCCCCAGCCCCCTCCAGTGCGCCCTCTGCCCGCCCGCTGCTCGCCTGCTGCTGCTGCACCGCCTTGCCCGCGCCCTCCCATGCCCCGCTGCCACCGCTGCTTGCAGCCTGTGCGCCCGGGGGGGGAAGTGGAGGTGAGGACGGGCATTGAGAGGCGGGCGATGGTGCGGTAAGAGGTGGGGATGGAGGGCCTTGTGGGGGCGTGCAGGGGGGTGCCGTGGGGAAGGGCGGCCTGCCTGCATGCGCTGCTTTTGCTTCTGCACTCACACCAGCCATGCCACACATCCCATCGCCACCCATGCTCTGCTCGCCCTCCTCACACCTCGCAGTCCTTTTCTCTTCAACCACCATCGCATCCGCCTCTCTTTCTTGCTCCCCATCCCTCTCGTGCGCCATCTCTTTCCCCTGCGCGCCTTTCCCCCCACCGCCTCCCCCATCCACGCCCTCCATGCACACGTCTCTCCCCGCACCCCCCTCAACCCCCCCTCCCTCCGCGCCCTCTGCGCCTCCCAGCGCCGCCACGGCAGCAGCCACGTCCAGCGACCCGCCCACCGCCCGCACGCCCCTTGCTGCGCCCACCCATGGCGGCGACCAGCACAGCACAGCGCCCACGCCCGCCATGCTCACCACGCTGTTGGCTGCCGCCAAGGCAGCGTGGCTGGGAGCAGTGGGCAGGTGACTGCCATCCACCTGCATTCCGCCCGCACTCGCACCGCTGCCTCCACCCACACCTTCCCCGCCTCGCCTCGCGCCACTGCCCTCCCACTCGCAACCTCCGCCACCACACCCCTCCTGGCCCCCTGCACACCCCTCCTGGCCCCCTGCACACCCCTCCTGGCCCCCTGCACATCCCTCCTGGCCCCCTGCACACCCCTCCTGGCCCCCTGCACACCCCTCCTGGCCCCCTGCACACCCCTCCTGGCCCCCTGCACACCCCTCCTGGCCCCCTGCACACCCCTCCTGGCCCCCTGCACACCCCTCCTGGCCCCCTGCACACCCCTCCTGGCCCCCTGCACACCCCTCCTGGCCCCCTGCACACCCCTCCTGGCCCCCTGCACACCCCTCCTGGCCCCCTGCACACCCCTCCTGGCCCCCTGCACACCCCTCCTGGCCCCCTGCACACCCCTCCTTGCCGCCTGCGCCTGCCTCCCCAGCGCCCCCCAGTGCGGCCACAGCAGCCGACACGTCCAGCGCGTCCGACCGCCCGCGCCTGTGTGCCTGCCCCACGCCAAGGGAGGCCCTCCCCTTCCCCTTCCCCGCGCCGCCACACAGCGACCTCTGCCGCCGCCACTGCTGCAGCTGCTCGTGCACGCCCTGCCCCCCGCCCTGCTGCCTCTGCCTCTGCTCGTCACAACACCTTAACTCCACCACCATCTCCTCCCTTCTCCCTCCTCCTTTTTTCCCCTCCCCCTCCCCCTCCTCCGCCCCCTCCCCTTCCCCCTTCCGTCCCCCCTGCACCTGTGCCTTCATGCTCTGAGCCACGCCCCGCGCCGCCACGTCATCCACCTGCCACGTGTGGGCGCCCTGCCCCCGCAGCCGTGCGCGCGCCCTCCTGCCGCCGCACAGAAACGACTCCAGCGTCAGCCCATCCTCCCCCGATCCAAACACCGAACCTGACTGCCTGCTTCGGCGTTGCTCAGCCTCGGGCTTCCAAGCGGCGGGGCGGCGTCCCTGCTCCTGTGCCGTCACGCGGAACTCTACCTGCTGCGCCTCCGTCCCCGCCCCCTCTCGCTGCGCTTCCCCCCCCGCTTCTTCCTGTTGCCCGCCCCCCCTCCCATTCATGCCCTCGGACTCGCTCGCACCTGCTTGCCGCTGCTCCGCGCCCATGCCAGCAGCGCCCATGCCAGCAGCGCCCATGCCAGCAGCGCCCGCCCTTCCACCGCTCGTGCTCTCGCCCCCGCCACTCGCCGCCACCCTGCTCGCATCCGCGCCTGGGAGCTGCACGCCCGCCCCGCTGCTGCCTCTCTCGCCGGCGCACGGCAGTGCAGCGCCCAGCCACTCCTGCAGCTCGCGCTCCAAGCTCGCTCCCCCTCCCCCCGCGTTCTCACCCACCCTGCCAGCACCGCTGCTGCTCTCTCCATGCCGCGCACCCTCACCAGTGCCCGCCGCCCTTCCGCCCTTCGCCTTCTTCTCCCTCCCCCTCCCCTCCTCCGCCTCCCCTTCTGCTACTACCTCCGCCCAATCCGCGCCCACGCTGCCCGCGCCGCTCTCATCGCCCCCCCACGACCCGTCCCTGCCTCGCCCTCGCATGCCCCGCTTCGCGCCGCTCACTTCCCTCGCCCGCGGCCCCCACAAGCCCCCTCGCCCTTCCGCCTCCCGTGCAAGCTCCCGCCATCCAGCCCCCGCGCTCGCCCCACCGCCCGTCGCAGGGCGCTGTCCTCCCCCTGCCGGTCCGCCTTCCTTCGCCGTCCCTGTCGCTCCGCTTCTCCCAGTGCCCCCGCGCACCGCTCCTCTCCGCGCGCTGCGCTCGCCCACCGCCCATTCGCCGTTGGTCGTCCATCGCTCGCTCTCGTCGCGCGCCAGCCACGCCGCAGCGGCGCCGGGAGTCCATCGCCCGCCGCAGCCCGACAGCCACGCGCTCGCGGCCAGCCCGTCGCCCTCCCACGGCGCGGCGCACAGCGACGGCATCGACACCGACGCCGCACTCCGCCGCATCGACGCGCACCCCCCCGCCACCCCGACCCCCGCGCCCGACTCCGCCGCTGGCCCGCGAATCCCCGCCATTCCCCACTGGCGCTCTCCAGTGAGCCCGTCCGCGACGTCCGCCGCATCCTCGTCGAGCGTGCGCAGCGGCGAGGGGGAGGGGCAGGGCGAGAGCAACGGCGAGCGGTGGTGCGACAAGGGCGTGAAGAGGCTGAGGGGCGAGGAGGACGAGGAGGGCAGGGTCATGGGGGACGACGACGGGGAGCGCGCGACGCACGCGGATGCAGGGCGCGCTGTGGCGTGTTGCGCAGCCGCGCCGTCCGCAGCTCCTCTGCACCCCTCAACGCGCGCCCGCCCGCCACTCCCCGCGTCCACCCACGACCCCATCGCTGCTCGCCTCGCCGCCCGCCACCAGCACGCGCATCCGTCGATGAATTCCCCTCGATGACTCGTTCCGTACAAGCACGACTCGAAACCCTAATGCAACACACAGGCTTCTAGAATAGACTGATTCCAATCCGAGGTTTCGCTCTAAGGTTGACACCTGCAGTAGCCCACCTTCTTGCTGTCGATTGGTTCCAGGCCAACACTTGAGAGTCTGAGGTCCCCGGATTCCAGCCCTGAAATTCACGGGAAGTGGCCTTTTCCAACCCTTTAAAGCTGCAGTCTACATACTAAAATGGGTTTTGGGGGGTAATCTAGGTGCACACCCTTTCGCGTTTGTTGATTGTAGAGCGAAGTGTATTCTTTCCCAAAACACCTGTGCGAGGACTTCGCACCCCGCTGACGAGCGCAGTCAATTTCGTGAGTGAGTTCGCTTTGGGGGGCCCAAATCCGCGGAAAGGCGGAGATTTCTGCGCAGAACACAAACAACCAAGCGGAAATTTCTGCGCCCACCCCCCTCCTTCCTTCCGCATCGATTGTTCGTTTCTCCGACGGAACAGTGCTACCCTGTTTTCAAGTGATAAACCAGGGCCTGTCCCTCGAAGTATGTAGATCGCAGCTTTAAAGTTGCGGTATACATTTGGCAGGGCCAGTGCCAAAAGTGTATAAGGGCGCGTCATTTTCATTTCATTTTTGCTCAATACCCATCCCGACCAATCTGGAAACTGATTTGACCGTTGTAGAACGCGAGAAATCTCACTAAGCTGCACTCAAAAGAACGAAAAAGACCCGCCCTAAAATGTACATGGTGGTTACCGAATTACAAGCCCACCCAACCTCTCTCTCGAGAAACGAGGGGCTCCCAACTCCACCCAGCTCACTCGACTGTCAAAAGTTTATAGATGGCAAAAGTATACTAATTCGTTTCCCCCATGGGAGCTCACTCACGTAGCGTTCTTAGCGTGCGCTACTAGAACAATCCTACCCACACCGTTGAAATTCGGAGCTTAGGGTTACGTCGTACACCGAAGATTGTGCCGGCGCCAGCGTTAGCCGAATACGCATTCATTCGTCCGTCGCCGCTGCGTCGCCATGTAGCTTCACCGCACTATACGTAGAAATCCCGTTGCCTCCCTATGCAGCCTAGAGTCGATCTCTGTTGTTGCGTAATCCAGCCGCCGCAAATCGCCTTTGCATCGGCCCCTAGTAGCGTCCTCGCCCCACCGCAACTTGCTGCCTCGTAGACTCGCCTCAAAGGCCGTCGCGGCGTCGCCTCGCCACAAATCCGCTCGCGGCGTCGCATTGCCGCAAATCCGCTTGCGGCGTCGCATCGCCGCAAATCCGCTTGCGGCGTCGCATCGACGCAAATCCGTGAGAAAATGAGAACGAGAAAATGAATGAACTATGAATGAACTGAGTACAAGTACTAACCCTAATTGGGTTGTACCCCTTGTGGGCTACCCCACTATAGCCTACACAATATGCAAAAGCTATATGTTCTGACACACCCCCATAGGCAAAGTGGGGGAGAACAAGGGGTCACAAGACCAGTCAAGCAAAACAAAGCAAAGCAAGCTCAGGGTGGATCACAAAGTCACCACACAGTCCGAGCACAAGGTTAAGGCCACAAGGCCAGTTCACATGCAGGGGTAGACAAATATATATAAGGCTAAAAAAACAAGAGCATGTAAATATATATATGCAAGAGTACAAGCAAGGTCAAGAGGTGAGCAAGTGAGGCAAGACTGGGACAAGTCCCAGCTGAGTGCAGAAGCGCTGATGATCACAAGGCGGAAGTGCCTTGGTGAAAACATCAGCAGTGTTGGCCTCAGAGGCCACGTACGCAAGTCGCAACTGACCACGCTGTCAGAGGTCCACTGGTGATCCCCGATCGATCCTAGGGAAGGGTTACAGGCGCGTTTGCCGGGGGGGTTATGGGCGCACTGACCCGCTACTGAAACAAGCCCTTTTATCCCAATGGTCTAGTGGTTGGGATTCTGAGATGGTATCCAGAGCGAAGGTCTCGGGTTCGAATCCCGGTGTATGCACTTCGGGCATCCCAGTGCGGGGGGGTGTCAGAGGTCCACTGGTGATCCCCGATCGATCCTAGGGAAGGGTTACAGGCACATTTGCCTTGGGGGTTATGGGCGCACTGACCCGCTACTGAAACAAGCCCTTTTATCCCAATGGTCTAGTGGTTGGGATTCTGAGACACGCTGCTGCAGCTCACAAGCAAGAAAGTAGCGGAGAGCAATGTGCTTCGTTCTGTGCTCCAGGCGTTGCTCACGACACAAGGCCAGCATGGCCTTGTTGTCTACGTACAGCACTAGAGGAGAACGAGGCGACTCTCCAAGGTCCGTCAGCAGGTAGGTGAGCCAGCGAAACTCCTGTGCAGCCATGGCCCCGGCGTAGATCTCAGCCTCACAACTGGAGCCGAGAACAGAGGACGAGCGAGTAGCCCGCCACGAAACAGAGCCAGAACCAAGACTGAAGGTGTAACCCTGGGACGACCGCTAAGTAGCCTGGTCGTCAGCCAAGAAGCGTCCGCGTGCCCAGTGAGGACCACTGGACTCCGCCCTTCAAGCGCTAGCCCCATGCCCGAAGTAGTGCACAAGTAGCGCAACACCCTCTTCGCTGCAGCCATGTGCTCTGGTCTGTGTCTCCCAGGAGCAACATAGCGTGCAAGAATGCTAAGAGGGTATGCAAGGTCAGGTCGTGTGCAGGTCATCAGGTACATGAGGCAGCCAACAAGCTCTGGGTATGGGCCACTCGACTCTACTAACTCATCCGAAGGCAGAGCTGAGAGCGAGTGGCGAGTAGGCAGAGGAGTGGCCTGAGGCGAGGAGTACGTGAAGCCGAAGCGCTGAAGGACCTGCTGCACCATGTGTGACTGAGTCAAGGTAATGGTGCGGCGTGCTCTGTCCCGGGTGATCTGCAAGCCAAGGTAGCTGCGCAGTTCACCCAGGTCTGTGCACGTGTGTCTCTTCTGCAGCTCGGACTTCACGTGGGCGAGTCCAGCAGTGTGAGCTGTGGCAAAGACCAAGTCGTCGACGTACACGAGGATGTAGAACGGCGGCAAAGAGGTGTCGGTGCGCAGAAACAACGACGGGTCAGCAGTAGAGGGAGCAAACCAAAGAGCCGCAAGCGTAGTCCTCAGTGTGTCGTGCCACTCACGTGGTGCCTGGCGGAGACCGTAGACTGGCCGTCGGAGGCTCCACTGGGTGCCAGGAGGGAAAGTCCCAGTGAAGCCAGGTGGACGGCACAGCCAGATCTCCTCGTGCAGGCTACCCTGCAAGAAAGCAGTGCTGAAGTCAAGAGAGTGAAGCTCGTAGTCGCGCTGAGCGGCTATGTGCAGCAGCACCCGAAGAGTGGTCATCTTCGAGGTGGGAGAGAAGGTCTGAAAGTAGTCAACTCCCTGCCGCTGACTGAAACCACGAGCGACGTACCGCGCCTTGAAGACAGGTGGAGAGCCCGGCGGCCGCTTCACCCTGAAGATCCACATGCACTGACGATGTTCGCCCCAGGAGGGGGAACCGCGTCAACGTAGGTGCCTGTGGACTTCCAGGAAGCCATCTCTGCATCCATAGCTGCCTGCCACTGAGAGGAGTAGGGACCCTCTACGGCCTCCGCGTAAGAGCGCGGAGTCGGGATGTCTAGTGCATCCAGGTCTCCCTCAGGGGCAAGCAGTACGGACGCGAGATGAGGTGAAGCAATAGCCAGACACTGGAACTCCTCCTGCCTGTCCTCAAGGACGTCCGTGCCAAGAGCACACTCACCCCCGACGGACGGAGGACAGACAGACGCAGACTCAGCAACAAGACTAGTGGCATAGTCTAGACGACATCGAGCAGCAAAGTCGACGAGCTCAGCAACAAGAGCAGACACAGCAGTGGACTCAAAAGAGGAATCAGTGACGACATTAGCAAGGAGACGCGTGACAGTAGGACTGGCAGCACGAAGAGAGTCCGACTCCGGGTCGGCCAGAGCAGGGAGAGAGGACTCAGGAGGAGAAGGCAAAGGGGCACGCAGAGGAGCAGTGGACGGACGCAGAGACATCCGGTGCGTGCTAGGGATAGGAGGAGGACGCTGACGCGAACCGCGACCACTAGCGCGAGAAGCACGAACAGGCGACGCGGGACGAGACGGAGGCTCACGACGCTCAGCAAGACCTCCAGTAGGACCAGTGTAAGGAGAGGGAGCAGGCAGAGGGGAGGCGGGCTCTAACTGTCACTGAGACTGGACAGGCGGTGGACACTCTACAGGAGGAGAAAGACCAAGTACCTGCTGCAGGAGCGGAACAAAGTACGGCTGAGGCCGCGCGGCAACTCCAGACACAGCAGGGACAGCACCAGCACCCTCAGAGGCAGCACCAGCGCCAACAGCACCTCCAGCTGCAGGACCTCCAGCAGCACCGGCAGCACGCGCAGCAGGACCACCGCCAGGACGGACAGCAGTAGTCTCAGCGCCAACACCCTCAGCAGCTCTAGCTCCAGTCGGACCCACAGGCTCAGCAGCTCCGGGACCGGCGGCACCAGCACCCTCAGCGGCCGAAGAAGCTCCAGCTCTAGTAGTACGGCTCCAGCGGCGAGTAAACCACTCGCGCAGCTCCTGTGGAGAGAGGGGCTCCCGCCGAGACAAAGCACCCGGAGAACATCCAGACTCTGCACCGCCAGACGCCACAAGGGGAGGTCCAGCGACCGCAGGCTCCGCAGCTTCAGGCTGAGCAGCCCCAGACGCAGCACCCCCTGGCTCATCACTCCCAGGCTCAGCACCCCCAGGCCCAGCACCCTCAGTCGCAGTACCCCCAGGCTCAGCACCCCCAATCGCAGCACCCTCAGACTCAGCACCCCCAGGCTCAGCACCCACGCGCGCAGCACCCCCAGAGTCAGCACCCCCAGGCTCAGCACCCGCAGCAGTACCAGAGTCACCAGCAACCTCGACCGGCTCGACTGCGTCTACCTGGGACACACCTGAAGGGGCAGGACCCTGAGGGGGAAGGGGGTCTACCGGGGGGGGACCTGGCAGGAGGAAGTGCGGTGGCGGGGGGAGGGAAGGAGTGCGGTAGGGGAAGAGGCGGTAGTAAGGCACCGACTCGTCAAAGGTGACGTCCTGGGAGGACAGAACACGTCGAGAGGAGGGGTGGTAGAACTGCCACCCTGGTGCGCTAGGGGGAAAGCCAAGGAAGACACAGGGAGCAGCACGAGGGGACAGCTTGTCCGCAGACAAGTCGCGGACAAACGCCCTAGATCCCCAGACACGGAACGCAGACGCATCGCCGACCTTCCCCGTCCACAGCAGAGCTGGGGAGGTCTCCGGCCGGGAGACCCTGGGGTGAAGGTTGATCTGATGCGCCGCGTACCGAACCGCAAACGGCCACAGAAAATGGGGGGCAGCCGCATGCATCATGGACGTACGAGCGACGTCCATGACCATGCCAATGCGGCGCTCAGCAATCCCATTTTGCTGTGGAGAGTCCGGAAGCGTGAAGGTCTGGCGAATGCCTCGCACACGACAGAAGGCTCGCAGAAGGCCAAAGGAGAACTCTCCGCCTTGGTCAGAGTGCAGACGCAGAACAGGAAAGTCTGAGCCGAAGCTTCTCCTGAGCTGGAGACGAGCTGCGCGGATCCAGTCGATCAACAGCGCAGTGACATCACCCTTGCTGCGCAAGGGGAAGACTGTGGTGTAACGCGAGTAGTCGTCAACCACCAGCAGGAAGTAGCGCTCGTGACCCTGTCCACGGACGTGGGCCGGGCCCCACACGTCCAAGTGAAGCGTCTGCAGCGGAGCCTCTGTCGGGGAAACTGAGAGGAGTGAGGGGCAGCCCGGAGCCGCCCCTCGACACAGGGGACACAGGAAGGACCAGGCCCCGAAGGAAGGGGAGGGAGGGACTGGGGGAGACCAGAGTCAAGGACACAGGAGGCCATGCCCCGAAGACGAGGGAGGGAGGGGTGACCAAGACGGTGGTGCCACAGGAGAGTCTCGTGAGACAGGAGGCGACACGAGCAGGGGGCAGACTCAGGACCAGACCTGGACGCTGCAGCAAACACCTGACCCGACGCAGCTACCCGGCCGGACGCAGAGACAGGAGGAGACGCAGTGGTCAGGGTGTAGAGGCTCGACCCCGGCCTGCGTGAAAACGTGGCCAGGTGTCGGCCTGTGCGGGCATCCGAGTAGTGGGTCACCCGCTGACTCGCAGGAGTGAACTGGTGAACCCCCGCATCCTGCAGGTCAGCACCACTCACCAAGTTCGTCGAGAACGAGGGGAGGTACAGACCAGACAAGGTGCCCGAGGGGGCAGCCGGACACGGGAGGACTGTGAAGAAGTGAGAGAGGACAGGACCCTCAGAGGGGTCAGCCAGGGAGACTGCAACGGGCCGACCAAGCGGCGTGAGTGTGGTGCGGTCTCGAAAGAAGGAGCGAGAAGCCCCTGAGTCAAGCGTGAAGGTGAGGGAGGCTGAAGCCGACGCGGTACCTGAGAGTGCAGCCTCACCAGTACCTGAGGGCGCAGACGCGCTGGCACCCAGAGCAGCAGCCTCACAAGCACCTAGCGCAGCAGAACCTATGCTCGGGTCGGGCGGGAAACAGCGGTAACAGTCACCCTCATCACTAATAGTCACAGCATACATGGCAGCAAGGATAGCATCAAAGTCAAGATCATAGATAGCTACGCCTGCCCTAGACAGCTCTCCCCAGCGGGGGATCTCACTAGCCTCGAGGAACTGCTGACGCCAAGCGTCCGTGAGGCGGCCAAAGCAGCGCTGGGTGGGGTGGGCACCCCCACACTGCTCACCCGCGCGGTCGCCGGAGCGAAGGACGTAGGTGCACGGACCAAAACCCCCACCACGCTGACGCTGCGTGTACCACTCACGGAGCTGCTGAGGGGGGGGGATGTCCCGAGAACGGTTCTGCTGCTGCTGCTGCTGGCGCTGACCACCACCAGAGCCGCTCCGCTGCGAGGCACCACCCCGACCAGCTCCACCTCCTCCGCCACCGCCGCCTCCACCGCCGCCACCACCGCCACCTCCGCTCCCACCGCTACCGCCGCCTCCGCCTCCGCCTCCACTGCCGCCACCACCACCACCACCTCCGCCACCACTCCCACCGCCACCCCCACTCCCTCCGCCGCCTCCACCGCCACCTCCACCACCCCCGCTATCTCCACCCGCGCCCTTGCCCCCCTTGCCCTTGCCAGAGCGGCGTCTCCCGCTAGGGGCAGACGCCGCACCGACCGACTCAAGACCAAGTAGGTCGGCCGCAGCAGCAGAGGCGACAGAGGGCAACAGGGGGGAAGGGGAACACCCCCTCAAAGATGGGGGTGCGAGGGTCACCACGAGAGGCTCCTACAGCGACTATGCTCTTCTCCGCTGCTAGGAGGGCCTTCTCTAGGAGGTCAACAGTGAGAGTGGTGGGACAGATTGAGAGAAAGTGGTCCCTGACTACGCGAAGGGAGTCAGGGAGGCGGGTGACTATGTAATAGAGAGTGATGTACATGGGGGGGGGGGGGTTCTTGGCGCAGAACTCAGCGGCGCGGTAGCGAGTGTCACTAGTGCAGAGGTGCGTAATGAGGTCAGCAACTGTGGGAAATGCAGCAAGGTCAGGGAAGAGGTACGGTAGCATGAGGCGGCTCAGTGCAGCAGTGGCAGGGGAAGAGTAGCGCGCAACTACAGCGTCGTACAAGGTCTGAGCACTCTTGTACTGACTAAAGTGTGCGCGCTCAGTGGTAGGCAGGTGGCGACGCACAGCAAGACGTGCAGCAGCATCGCGGGTGGCCCACTGAGAGCGAATAGTGGGGTCAGCATCAGCAGTAGGGGCAGGAGAGGCGCCAGAGGTGAGGTCAAAGAGAGAAAGACCGTCCGCCCTATCGCACTGTAAGAACAGCTGCAGGTCGTCGACCAAGACCTCAAAGTCAGTGGCTCGACCCTCAGCGTCAAAAGCGAGGACACTAGGGGTAGCCATGACGACGGTAGACTAGCAGTGCAAGCAGTAGGGGAAGGGCACGCAGTGACAGAGAGGCTGTGCTCACCGGACAGGGATGCTCGGGCGGCTCAACTGTAGGGCGGCTCGGCGGCTGGGCGGCTCGGCTGCTGGGCGGCTCGGCGGCTCGGCTGCAGGGCGGCTCGGCTGCTGGGCGGCTCGGCGGCTGGGCGGCTCGGCGGCTCTGCGGCTCGGCGGCTGGGCGGCTCGGCTGCACGGCGGCTCGGCTGGTGGGCGGCCGGGCGGCTCGGCGGCAGGGCGGCTCGGCTCCTCTGGTATAGGGCGGCGCGGCGGTCGGCGGCTCGGGCGCGCTGCTGCACGAGGGGAGAGCGGTGGGGCCGCAGCAGACGGGCGGCGGGGCCCGTTGACGTAGGGCGGCGGGGCCGGTGAAGTAGGGCGGCGGGGCCCTTGAAGTAGGGCGGCGGGGCCCTTGAAGTAGGGCGGCGGGGCCCTTGAAGTAGGGCGGCGGGGCCGCAGGTGTAGGGCAGCGGGGCCGCAGCAGACGGGCGGCGGGGCCGCAGACGTAGGGGGGCGGCGGGGCCGCTGAAGAAGGGCGGCGGGGCCGCGAAGTGGGGCGGAGGGGCCGCAGCAGACGGGCGGCAGTGCCGCTGAAGCAGGGCGGCGGGGCCGCGAAGTGGGGCGGCAGGGCCGCGAAGTGGGGCGGCGGGGCCGCTGAACAGGGCGGCGGGGCCCGTGAAGTAGGGCGGCAGGGCTGCAGGAGTAGGGCGGCAAGGCCGTAGAGTAGGGCGGCAGGGCCGCGACGTAGGGCGGCGGAGCCGCGAAGTAGGGCGGCGGGGCCGCAGGAGTAGGGCGGCGAGGCCGCAATTAGGGCGGCGGGGTCGCGACGTAGGGCGGCGGGGCCGCGAATGCGGGTGGCGGGGCCACGCTAGTAGGTGGCGGGGCCGCACGAACGGGCGACGGGGCCGCTAAGGTAGGGAGGGCCGCTAGGGCGTAGGAGCCGTGAGGGCGGCTCGACAAGGTGAGAGCGCGACTCGGGCGGGGCGCGCTTCGGGCAGGAAAAAAAATTCGAAATTTGGTGGGCCCTAGGCACAGTTCCCACAGGGGAGCCTGCTCGATACCATGAGAAAATGAGAACGAGAAAATGAATGAACTATGAATGAACTGAGTACAAGTACTAACCCTAATTGGGTTGTACCCCTTGTGGGCTACCCCACTATAGCCTACACAATATGCAAAAGCTATATGTTCTGACAATCCGCACGCGGTGTCACCTCGGCGTGAATCCCTGCTCGTGGTGTCGCCTCGCCGCAAATCCCCGCGCAGCGTGTCGTACCACCAAATCCGCACGAGGAGTCGCATCGACGCAAATCCGCTGGCGGCGTCACCTATCCGCAAATCCGCACGCAGCGTCGCGCCGCAAATCCGCTCGCAGCGGCGCCTCGCCGCCCCACGCTACCTCCTCACGCCACCGCGATCACGCGGGCCGCGCCACACACTGCGGGCCCTCGTGCGCCTCCAAATATATTCAGTCCGCTGCCCTCTCCCAATTTACGGCCTCCCGATCTCCCATTACCGCCTCCCATTCTCCCCTTCAAACCTCCCCTTCTCCCCTTACCGCCTCCTTGCATCCACACCTCCTCTCACTGCATCCCCATCTCCCCTCTCTGCATCCCCATGTCCCCATTATCTCCCTATCCAACCCCATTCCGCCACATCCCTACCCGCATCTCCGCTTCCCTCCCTTCCCTGCCTTCCCTGCCTTCCCTCCCTTTCATCTCTTCCCTCCCATCCTTCCCTTCCGTCCCGTCCCTCCCGTCCCTCCCTTCCCTCCCGTCCCTACCTTCTCTCCCTGCCCTCCCATCTCTCCCTACGCTCCCTACCCTCCCTTCCCTTCCTTCCCTCCCTCCTCTCCCTTCCCTCCCTTCTCTCCCTTCCCTCCCTTCTCTCCCTTCCTGCCCTTCTCTCCCTTCCCTCCCTTCCCTCCCTTCCCTCCCTTCCCTCCCTTCCCTCCCTTCCCTCCCTTCTCTCCCTCCCCTCCCTTCCCTCCCTTCCCTCCCTTCCCTCCCTTCCCTCCCTTCTCTCCCTTCCCTTCTTCGCTCTCTTCCCTACCCTTGCAGCCTTCCCTCCCTTCCCTCTCTTACCTCCCCGCGATTTCCCTTCTCTCTTCATTTCGCTTCCCTCCTTCCCTCCCTTCCCTCCCTTCCCTCCCATCCCTCCCTTCCCTCCCTTCTCTCCCTTCCCTCCCTAACATCCCTTCTCTCCCTTCCCTCCCTTCCCTCCCTTCTCTCCCTTGTCTCCCTTCCCTCCCTTCCCTCCCTTCCCTGCCTTCCCTCCCTAACCTCCCTTCTCTCCCTTCCCTCCCTTCCCTCCCTTCCCTCCCTTCTCTCCCTTCTCTCCCTTCCCTCCCGTCCCTCCTTTCTCTCCCTTCCCTCCCTTCCCTCCCTTCCCTCCCTTCTCTCCCTTCTCTCCCTTCTCGCCCTTCCCTCCCGTCCCTCCTTTCTCTCCCTTCTCTCCCTTCTCTCCCTTCTCTCCCTTCTTCTCCTTCCCTCCCTAACCTCCCTCCTCCCCATCTTCTCAACCCCTCTTCCCTTCCTTTCCCTGCATCCCCATCTTCCCGCCCTGCATAACTCTCTCCCCTTCTTGCTTCCCCATATCCGCTGCATATTTCCCCATCTCCCCTCACTGCATCCCCATCTCCCCTCCCTGCATCCTCCCTAAACCCTTCCTTGCTTCTCCTCACTTATCCCCCGCCCCCTCCTGCCTCCCTTCATTCCCCCCCCTGCTTCCCCTCATTTCCCCTCCTCACTGTGCCCTCCGCAGGCCTCCCTTTTTTAGTATTCTCTCTTGTTACCTTCCCTGCCGTCCCCCCAACGCTGGAAGCGATCTCAATGTGCTTTTCCTCACATGCCCTCCAAAGCCTGCTTCTCCTCACTTCTCCCCCTGATTCCCCTCATATCCCTCCCCCCCCCCCCCCCCCCCTCCCCCCTTGATTCCCCTCATCCTCCCCCCCCCCCCCCGCTGATTCCTCTCATCACAGCCTGTGGTTGAAACACTACCATTTTCTTATTCCCCGCCCTCGGATTCTTTCCCCTTCCCTGACAATTTCAATGACTGTAGCTTCAACACGCCTCACCCTATAGTATGGTATTGCTCTCCTTGGCCTTTGCCTACAGTCTAAAGTTATATGAGAACATGTTTCTTTCTACTCGTGTGTGATGTGACACCTGTCCATGCATCTTGGAAGGACAAATTGCACTGCTGAATCGTGGTAGTACATGGTGGGCTTCATGGCCGATATCTCCAGAAGTAACTCACTACCATATTTGCATTACAACGCACACGAGACAAAACAAAAGTGGTGGTGACTAACATCCACTAGTCACGCCTCTGCTTGTAACTGGTGCCTCTTCTCTGTTTCAACACAGCCAATTGGCAGAGTAGGCAAAATCGATTGTGTAAGGCCCAATGGGAAGGTGCTGAGGCAGAAGGGGAGAAGCAACAAAGGAATTCAAGCAAGTGATGGCACTACATGCACAAGAACTAGAGGGTAGACGGTGACGAGTGAGTGAGGGGGGAGAGGAGGGCATGCAAGGGAAGGGAAGGGCAGCAGGGAGGGCAGGGAAGGGAAAAACAGGAAAGAAGGGGATGAATTGGGCAGATGCGAAGGCAGGGAGAGCAGTGATGGGAAGGAAGGGATGGGAGATGGGAAGGCAGGGTTGCGTGTGAAAAGATGAGAGCAAGTGTGAGGAGCAAGAACGCGGGACTACGACACTAGGAGCAAATAGCTGGCGTTCTCATTGCCATGTCAGCATGCATGCCGGCGACTGCTGACGTGACAGCAGTGGTGGCGGAAGGGGCGGCAGCGGCAGCGGCGAGGGTGAGCAACGTGAATTGGGCCACAACTGTAGCCGTTTCCCTGTCTGTATCTTGAGTGACCGAGGAGGCCCAAGGGGCCAGAACGGGCGGCAGGGTGCGGCACGAGGTTGGTTGCCTCGTCAGCGAGCTATGATTCGATGACGAGAGCCATTTCAAGGCCGACAGCCAGCGCTATGGTGTCAAACACGTGCTTCACCTGCAGTAGTAGGCAGAATGGCACGGTGGGGGGCAAGGAAGGGGAGAGAGGAAGAAGGGGAGAGCAGGATTGTACATTGGGCAGAAAGACAAGTTAAGTTGCGGGGCAAGGGTGGGAGAGGAGGGTTGATGGTTGAAACTCGGCTTTGTCTGCGAGTAAGGGAGTGTAAGGGCATGGCAGCAATATGTGTGTGTGCACAGAAACGCCATAACACCCACCGGAACAGCTAGGTCTCGAGTGGGTAACACAACCACCACTCTGACTCATCACACCACGTGCCCCACCAGGGCCTGCATCACTGGCAGCACATACGCCAGCGTCTACTGGGGAGGGGGAAATGACCGTATTACCCACCTAAGCAGCCAGGTCCCTGGTGGGCACACGCCCTACCACCGCCCGCACTCGCCGCACCACACGCCCTGCCAGTGCCTGCACCACTGGCAACGCATACGATAGGTAGCAGGGGGAATGCAGGGGGGGTAAGGAGGGGATGCAGGGAGGGAAAGGAGGGGATGCAGGGAGGGAAAGGAGGGGATGCAGGGAGGGAAAGACGAGCGGTTAGAAGGGGGGAGAGGCGGTGGAGGAGATAGTAAGAGGGAAAGGAGGAGACCTAAGCGTTTGGGAGAGGGTGAGCGAGTGCACGGGGGGGGGAGCGAGTGAGCGCGGGGGGAGCGAATGCGCGCTGGGGGAGCGAGTGCGCAGGGGGGGAGCGAGTGAGCGCGGGGAGAGCGAGTGAGCGCGTGGGAGGCGAGTGAGCGCAGGGGGAGCGAGTGAGCGCGGGGGGAGCAAGTGAGCGCGGAGGGAGCGAGTGCGCGCGGAGGAAGCGAGTGCGCACGGAGGGAGCAAGTGCGCGCGGGGGGAGCGAGTGAGCGCGGGGGAGGCAAGTGCGCGCGTCGGAAGTGAATGCGCGCTGGGGGAGCGAGTGCGCGCGGAGGGAGCGAGTGAGCGCGGTGGGAGCGAGTGAGAGCGGGGGGAGCGAATGCACGCTGGGGGATCAAGTGCGTGCGGAGGGAGCTAGTGCGCGCGGGAGCGAGTGAGCGCGAGGGGATCGAGTGCGCGCGGGGGCAGCGAATGCGCGCTAGGGGAGTGAGTGCAAGCGCGGGGAGCGAGTGAGCGCTGGGGGAGCGAGTGCGCGCGGGGGGAGCGAATGCGCGCTGGGGGAAGTGAGTGCGCGGGAGGCGGGCGGGACGTACACATATGGATGCATCGTCACGTCTGCCGGCCCTGCACTTCTCTAAAGTGCGAGTCTTGGGGTACCCTAGAACCTATTTTGCACTACTAGTAGTGATACCATAGCACCAATACTTGGAGTTTGGAGACAAGTGGTGCATCTATTTTGTACACACACAATTCCCCCGAAGTGGTGGAGGGGCTCGGAATGTTCGCCAACACTCTCGCCATGCTGTTTCACTTTCGCTGGGGCGAAATCGTTTTGGGCACTGTAGTCACTCCAAAAGTACTGCCAAATGTATACTGCTGCTTTAAGCGTCCGGGAAAGCCCTCAACCCAAAACTTGAATTCAGGGAACATTCAGGGTGTAAGGTATCCCTATATAATGTAAACTATTGCAGCCACAATCATTTTGAAACTACCAAGTGGCGGGCTTGCGGAGAGGCGTGGTGGGGGGAAAGCGGTGCAATTATTCAGCCAGTCGATAACATCTCTGACGAGACACGCGAGTGCTCTCTCTGTCTTGGCGGCAAAAGAAACTATCTTCCTGCTGGGACGGAATGGGATGAAAGGGAGACGCGAGGGGGGGGGGGGTGGGGAGAGGAGAAGAGCTGTGAACGCTTCTAAGGTGCAGCTACGCGCGGGCCGCGGCTACGTTCTAGCGGCGGCTAAGCGCGAGCTGCAGCAGCCGACGCGCGATTGTCGTGGCGCGCTGGCTGCGACCTGCGGGCGGGGGGCTGTGGGTCGCGCGTCGGCCTAGGGGCTAGCGGGGCCTACGGGCGACGGCTTGCTGGGGCTCGGGAGAAAAAATCGGGCCGCCCGAGGCGGCGGTTTTCCTACGCGCGCTAAAACGGCAGGGCCGCGCTCGTGCTGCTAGCGGGCTGCACACGGGCAGCGTGAGAGAAGAGCGCACGAGGGCGCACTAGGGGAAAGGCGCACGAGGGCGCCAAAAAAAAAGAGGGCGCACGAGGGCACCTCTAGCGGAACGGTGGGCCCTTAGGTCTAGAACCTAAGCTCTTAATACCATGTCAGAAACAAGAAGTGATTGAACTACACAAGATTGGAGTACAAGTATGAAACCCTAGAGTTGTGTACCCCCTAAAGGCTAACCCACTATAGCCTACACAGCAATAACACATATATAGTGTTTGACAATCCTGACTAGACGCACAGCCAATCAGGTCTTCGCGAGTCAAACGAAGCGAATTTGAAATGTGACTCGCTGCAAAAATGAATTTCGCTACCGTTTTAAGCAAGAATTTAAATTAAAATTACACATGCGTATATAATAAGTAAATGTGATAATTGAGGAATGAATGAACTAGGAAAGAGGTGGGTACAAGTAGGAAAACCTAGAAACGTTGTACTCCATATTGTCTACCCCACTACAGCCTACACAGACTATTGCATATAAGTTTGACACACCCCCATACGCAAAGTGGGGGAGAACAAGGGGTCACAAGACCAGTCAAGCAAAGCAAAGCAAGCTCAGGGTGGATCACAACGTTACCAAACATTCTGAGCACAAGAACAAGGCCACAAGGCCAGTAAACATGCAAGATCATATATAAAGGTAAACAAGCAAGTGCAGGTATAGAAAGATCACAGTACAAGCAAGGTCAAGAAGTGAGCAAGTGAGGCCAAGTAGGCACAAGACCTAGCATCGTACAGAAGCGCTGATGATCACAAGGCGGAAGTGCCTTGGTAAAGATATCAGCAATGTTGGCCAGAGAGGCCACGTAAGCAAGGCGCAGCTGACCACGCTGCTGCAGCTCACGAGCAAGGAAGTAACGAAGAGCAATGTGCTTCGTTCTGTGCTCTAGTCTGTGCTCCCGACACAAGGCCAGCATGGCCTTGTTGTCTACGTACAGAACTGGAGGAGAACGAGGCGGCTCTCCTAGGTCAGTCAGCAGGTAGGTGAGCCAGCGTAGCTCCTGTGCAGCCATGGCCCTCACGTAGATCTCAGCCTCACAGCAAGAGCCGAGAACAGAAGACAAGCGAGTAGACCGCCACGAAACAGAGCCGGAACCAAGGCTGAAGGTGTAACCCTGTGACGACCGCTGCGTAGCCTGGTCGTCAGCCCAAAAAGCGTCTGCGTGACCTGTGAGGACCACTCGACGTCGCCCTCCAAGCACTAGCCCCATGCCCGACGTACTGCACAAGTAGCGCAACACCCTCTTCGCTGCAGCCATGTGCTCTGGTCGGTGTCTCCCAGGAGCAACATAGCGTGCCAAGATGCTAAAAGGGTATGCAAGGTCAGGTCGTGTGCAGGTCATCAGGTACATGAAACAGCCAACGAGCTCTGGGTACGGGCCACTCGGCTCTACGGACTCATCCGAAGGCAGAGCTGAGAGCGAGTGGCGAGTAGACAGAGGAGTGGCCTGAGGCGAGGAGTACGTGAAGTCGAAGCGCTGAAGGACCTGCTGCACCATGTGTGACTGAGTCAGGGTAATGGTGCGTTGTGCTCTGTCCCAGG